TCATACTGATATAAAAGAGGATTGAATCCTTATTTCAGCTATAACTATAACTGTCATGTTTTAAGTATCACTGTCAAAAGTATGACTAATATTAAAGAAAACAAAACGAAAATGATTTGTTTGTTTTATCGTATTGATTTACATGCTACTTATCTTAATTTTAATGTCTGATGAAGTAAGTATCCTATTGAGATACGAAACATTACAAATTTTAAATTTGAATGAAATAATACTGTCAAACTAAATTAAATTATAAATAAAATAAAAGAAGAGAATAAAATCATGTCAAATGTGAATTCAATCTTCTTATCAAAACAGGAAGAATGTCCAGAAATATTGATTTTTTAATATTGATATACTTACTGACTTTTCTTATAAATTCAATAGTAATTCATTTAATGCAAATCATCAGTGACAATCGATATTTATCTTGTGTCAAAGAAAAGTAGAGTTTTACTGGTATAAATTGATATTGTATATAAAAACAGGAATGCTGGTACTCAAGATCGATCAAACATGGTAATGACCAATGCAATACAACAATGTATTAATGCATTAAATGAACTCAATAAAAATAATGAAATTGATCTTGCAGAATTGTTAGACAGTTTATCATTAACTTTTGGAAAGCAAAACGAACAAATTTTAATAGTTACCATGCATGGTGACTCTATTAATAAAGTTATTTACATTTGAATAATGAAAACTTTTGTATGATAACATTTTTCTCTGATGTATGTGTCGTTTGATATTTTATTTCGTCTATTTTTATATCATTCATATATGATTTCTTATTGATATGTTCTTTATTACGGATGTGTTCTTTTTCCAAACTTGAAATTTTGCTAAAATCAAAAAGTTTGAAAAAAAAAAGATCATCGAAAACGTTCAGCCACCGTTCATTGCTGTATCGACTTAATATATCTTTCATCGTATACACTAGAATGAAACCATTTTCTTCCTTATTTTTGATAAATAATATTCGATTTTTCTAACTCTCATGATGATCACCATATGTTATCAAAAAGATATTGTTTAAAAAATTCTAGAAAAATTCTCTAAATTTCAAGGGCATATCATGAATTCATCATTCATAGTTTAGTCGTCTTGTCAAATGAATTTAAAAAATATATAGATTCTCTTATCTCATCATAGATTTCAACAATATAGAAAAGCGAGATTCTTGTGCATTATTTTATTCTCAATAAATGTTAGACTTCATCGCCTTCGACTGATCATAAAAATAAAGTTTTGAATAGTAAGTAGTTCGTATCAAAACATATAATAAAATTGTGCAGTGTCTTCAAAAAGAAAATGTTGATGCGATAATACACATTTGCTGCTTTTCTCACTTTGCACATCTTACCTGTGTATATTATCAAAAAGAGCGATACACTTGAATGCTTTTCTTCTCTTCATTTTCTCTCGTAGAAATCGTATGCAAATGTGCTTATAATTAATAGGAAAAAAAAAGAGATAGATGGACAGAGAGAAAAAGGATGAATAAGAATCAGTAAGAAAAAGATACAACACATTATTATCAAAGAAGCAAATGTTATGAGTACTGATTTGCTTACATCGGTTATCATAACTAATCATTAATTATACACAAGATTTTTTCCCAGACATCAATGACGGAAGGAATATTCTCGTTGTTTTTTCTTTGATGAAAAAATTACTGCATGATTTTGTTCGTTATGCTTCATTAAGTGCTTCTCTCTAAAGAAACTGCACTGTATGTTTGTAATAGATCATGTTTTTCTACAGTTTCGAAAGGAAAAAAACCAATTTTATTCTAATTGAGTAATATCTGATAAGATTCTGTCTAATTTGTTGCTCATTTTTCTTGTGAAATGTTTTGATGGGATTCTTCTAAGTGTCATGCAAATGAGTAAGGGAACATCACCTGAAAAAAAAACATTCGCATCAACTATAAAAGAGCAATGGAACTATCAAATGAACAGATAATACTGAAATACAACAAAAATGATGAAAATCATTCTTCTTTTTATTGTTTCAATTGGTTTACAAGTGGTCAGTGCAGATTTGGATGTTGCACTCGAAACTTTTCTGGCTTCGACTACGGGAAGAAGTTTAGTAGTAAACAAAGCTGATGCTATTAAGAATTTATACAACTTGTATAAGATAGAATTTAATCGAGGCTTAAAGACAAAAAGCGACGATAAGCTTCGTTTTATAGCATTCAATAACACCTTACAGGACATTCTCGATGATTATCAAAAAGGTGAAAAAACATACACTCTTGGACTTAATGATCATGCTGATTGGACAGAAGATGAGTGGAGACCATTACGTAATGGTGTTCAAATTCCTGAAGGCAACATCAGTAAGACGAATGTGAAACCGGGTGAACGTTTATTAACATGGGACGGAAAGTCATCACAGAGCAGAACAATTCCACCGGCCTCGTACGACTTAACGAAAATGGTTGTTTCAGGAACAACTGTGCCAGTTGTAAGTATTATTTTTCATTTATGATTCAAAATCATCCTGTTTCTTTTTTCTATTCAAGGTGTTATCAATCAAAGATCAAGGTCAGTGTGGATCGTGTTATGCATTTGCTTTTAACGCTTTGCTTGAATTTCAATACGCTATTCAGTTGAAGAGCAGCGCCAGTTTGAGCGAGCAACAGATAGTTGACTGTTCATGGTATGATCATGGTTGTAATGGAGGTTACATTTCTGGCACATTTAAATATTTACAAGGTAATGTCTGGCAAATAAACGGTGCCCCATACTATCCGTACACTGCTAGAGTTGGCCAATGTGCATTTAGAAGTACAGGAGGCGGTGGAGTGAAATTTGGATCACTTCGTTACGTTAGTGTTACAGCAAATAATGCTGCTGCCATGCAACAAGCCCTGGTCGACTACGGACCTTTGTACGTGTCGCTTTTCGTTGGTGATGACACAACATCAGTATACAAAACAATTTCCTCTATATTCAACAATTACAAAAGTGGTATTTTTGGACCAAGTGGATGTCCAACATCAAATTCCTTAACAAATCATGCTGTTGTTATAGTTGGCTACGGAGTTGATGCGACAACGGGTTTGCCCTACTGGAAAGTGAGAAATAGTTGGGGATCTTGGTGGGGAGAAAGTGGCTATTTTAGAATACGACGTGGTTTGAACACATGTGGTGTTGAATCCGGTCCATTCTACATTGCAAGAGTAGCATAAATCATAAACAATAATTATTTCTCAGTTTATAGGCTGATATATTTGTATGTGTGTATTTTTGTTTTCATTATTATTTAACATATACTCTATATATTCATGAATAAAAAATTGATTTTCTTCTTAAAAATATAGATATTTGTTAATCCAAGTCCTCACTCAAAGTTGTGAAATTCAACTTGACTGGTGGTTAAGTCATTCTTAAAATAAAAAAATGTAAGAAATTCTTTGAACAGGGGTTATTTTACTTTTAAAACTGAACATACAATAAAATCATGAAAACTCAACAATTGAATAGTTTTTTTAAATAACCAATGTGCAATCTCATAACAAATATTAGATTGAATAAAACTTATG